ACCGGGCCGGTTCTGGGGAGGCGGTTCGGGAGGGAGGCTCTGCCCTGCCGGGACTGCCGGAACTCTCTCACCGCTCTTGTCCTGCCCTTCTCCCCCCCTGCCCGTGTGTTGTAGGACACGGAGGCGTGAATCAGCTCGGGGGCGTTTTTGTGAACGGCCGCCCTCTCCCCGATGTCGTTCGCCAAAGGATCGTGGAGCTCGCCCACCAAGGGGTCCGGCCGTGTGACATCTCCCGGCAGCTCCGCGTCAGCCACGGCTGTGTCAGCAAAATCCTCGGCAGGTAAAAAGGGGACGGCGAATCCTCCCGTGTCCGTCACAAGTGCCGGGGCCAGCCCCAGGGCCAGGGGCTGCAAACAAACGGGGAGGGGGAGCGACTTCCTGAGGAGTCGTGTTTTGTGTGTCTGATCTGCAAAGAAACAGCCAATATCCGTGGGTCTTGTTAGCCCCTGTTACAGCTTCTAATCCTGATGCAAAGTGCAGAACGCCATGAGTATTTGCTGTGTGTGTATATATCTATATACCTATATATATATGTATATATATATATACACACACATACACACACATATATATCTATATATATATAGTGTATGTCCTGTGCCTGTCTGCTCTGAACAGGAAGGGAAATCTGGGAGTCATATTCAGCAAAATAAAAAAAAAGTAGAAGTTGTGGAAATTACTTGTTTTGCTTCCTGAGTAGGACTCCTTTTTAAACAATGTTATCATGATATATTTCATCAGTGTTGCGGCACGTGCGTTCATGCAAGCTATTCTGCAATCTATCCCACTGTTTATAATCAAACATATTTTTCCAGTCTTCTACTGGATTAAGAGAGAGCAGAACACCATGAGTAACTAGTAACCGCCTTAGAGGTATTTTGGCTACTTTGGGAGTAGCTCTCTGTTCGGCTAAGAGCTGCTCCAAACACTATGGCAACAGGATATTAAACTCTGAATTAATATTATTTCCTGATGCTGCTTAAAATTTGGTGTAAATTCAGCTAAAAAATGCCAAGCTTGCTTTTTCCCTTTTTGATTCCTTAATCTTTTGTGCAAACCTAAACTTAATTTGTGTAAATTACCATTTTTACATGGTTTTGAACCCCAGGTATTCTTACAGTCTTGGGCAACTTATATTAAGGGGATTTTTTTTTTAAGTGTTTTTTCTTTATGATCTGGAAAAGTTAACTATTGAGTTGTTTGTTGCAATTGCACAGTTAATTTCATTGTTTAGCATTTTACTATTTTTATTTTAAATTTTTTTTCCAGTTCCTTACAAACACAGCATAGCTGCAAAGACAATTGGAGGCATTTAATTTATAGCAACACACGGGGGATGTGTTGCTCGATGTCAGTGTCAGTGTCCAGGTCTGTCGGGATCATGGGGTCCCAGTTTTGCACAGTTTTGTCACTTTTCTCCACACGCCCCTCTCACTCTGCCTGCCCCAGCAGGCCGGGGCTGCCCTCGGCGCTCCTGCTTCCCCTCTGCTCCCTCCTCACTTTAAGTTAAAGTTGTCAGCAATAAATTGGAATTTCATAGCTCATTATTTTCTTAACTAATAATTACAGTAGGTAAAATGTCTCTGTAGTTGCATCTCTGTGTGTGTACGTTTTCTTGCATGTGTGCATGTATGTGAAAAGTGGGAATCCTTAAGATAGATCCTTGCATTTGGAATTTTATTATTGGAATTTTTCAGTACTAGATGCAGTTTAAAAAAAATCCATCCAGAGGCAGGTAACCAGCTGTTGCAGGGCAAGTGGAGCTCTTAACCCTCAGAGGAGGGTTCTGTGGTGGTGCCATGTTTGCCATTATTTTGTCATGTCCTCATGGAAGTGCAAGGGGAGCTAAATTTTCCCCCTCTGCCTTAAAGCTCACAGCATTTAGGGGCAGAAGGAGGGTTAGTCCATCCATCTCTAACACTCAACACTTGCCATTATTGATATTGCATGAATGGCCCATGGAGACCGGTGTTCAACATTTGCACACAAAGTATCTGAGAACACGTGTGAGCAATTTGGTGTGAGTCTCTTAAGAGGAGCTTTAGGCCCTGCACACAGAGCTCTCCCAGAAACACTGAGAACAGGCAGCCAGGCAAAAATTTGATGAACATGATTGCATGTTTCAGGGAGGCAGACTTTGGCTGTGCAGACTGTTTGTGCTCTGCTCAGGCTCAAAAGATGGGAGAATTTTTTATTTTTTTTTTTTTTTGTCTAATGGTTGTGTCAGACAGTTGCAGGGGAAACACATAAATAAGCATTCTTATCTTCCAGCTTGTGAGTTTTTCCTGAGGTAGGAATGGGGGCGCAGGGCAGTGATCAGTGGTGACTGAGCTGCTGCAGGCGCAGCTCGGTGGGCGCCTGGTGGGTGGCAAAGCCACCAAAAGCTGTTGATCTTGTGTGATGCACATGTGGAATATTGGTCAGATTTATCTTGCTTTGGGGATCTCATTCTTCACCTTTTGTGGGTGGAGAGAGGTGGTACCAGAAAGGTGGTACCTTTTGAGGCATCAGCAGAGCTGCTGGCAGTGGGGAAGATGCTGCACCCGAGGAAGGGCTGGTCACAGAAACCAACCCTGCCTCAGCTGGACCCCTCGCAGCATCAGCAGCTCCCTTTCCCTCAAAATTTGTTATTGAAACCACTGAAAACATAATGACGAAAAGAATACATTTTGAAAAATATGAACTATTAAAACCATAAAATGCATATTGAAATCGTAAAATAGGAAAAAGATATGCTGGTGTATTTATTCCAGAGGTGCAAATAAAATACAACATCCAGCCTTCATTTCATTTTGAATCATAACAAGCTGTAGATATTAATGACAGCATTTCTGTAAAAACAGTAATTTGCTACAAAAGAGTCCACTGCAAAAAGTGGTCTTTGGTGTGATTTGTTTCTATTATTGCCAGCGCTGCTGATTAATAACACACATTTTCAGTTAATTTTGGATCTCAGCATGCCCTTTAATCTTGCGTTGTTTCTTTTGTCTTGCTATTACAGAAAAATATATATTGTATCCTGAGGCCCCATTCCAATTACTATAAGTTAATCTATTAGGTGATAAAGAACCACACAGGCAGGAAATGTGTATGTGAAAGTGAAGATGTATCTCAGGATTTGCTGGGGTTTGGTTACCTTGAGATGATGTTCTCTATAAATCTCAGAGCATGTTCTCTGTCTGTGTGTGATAACCAAAGCTTTGTTTTGGATGTTGTCCCAGGTATTATGAAACCGGGAGTATTAAGCCTGGAGTGATTGGAGGATCAAAACCAAAGGTCGCCACACCCAAAGTCGTTGAAAAAATTGCAGAGTACAAACGCCAAAATCCCACCATGTTTGCCTGGGAGATCAGGGACCGACTCCTTGCTGAGCGAGTGTGTGACAACGACACCGTGCCCAGTGTCAGCTCCATTAACAGGTAAAGCTGGTTTAGGTAAAGCCTCCCATCTGGGGTGGGATGCTCCGTGTCACCATGGCTCTGTCTTTGATAGCACTGGGTGCTTGGGGCTGTTTGTAAGAAAAGCAGCCTCACCTGTTTGCCCAGGGCACCTGGGCCTGGGAGCAGCTGCAGGCTGACCTGAGTGCTGAGGCACCGCGGGTGATGAGGGTTTCCTAGGGGTGGGCAGGTCCTTCTGCCAGCCTCGGCTTCTTTTCCATGCTTTCCCATGTTTGTGAGTCGGAGCACCTTGCTGGGAATGACCCTCTGTGTTTGCAGCAGAGCAAAGCCCCTGCTCTGCCCTGTGGGGTGAGGGTTTGGTGGGACAGGCTTTGCCCAGGGGGGAAGATCAGATGGCCGTTGAGTAGGGTGGCAGTCATCTGGGTAAGAAAGAGACCCAAGGCTTGGGGCTGAGCCCATTTTGTCACCTGACACCCGACTGGTGCTGCTGACATTGGCCCAGGCCTGTGTTCAGTGTGAATATCAACGGGGGAATTCGGTTGGTAGCGTCTGAGGGCCTCCACTGTCTGCTTTTTGCCTTGGAGAACTTAAGTGGCCTGGAATTGCTTTTGTGAAAATGCAGGGGAATCTCATTTGGAGACTGAGTCCCACGTTTGGGTGTTTTGCCATGGCTTTGCAGGTCAGGGCTGGGCTCATGGAAGGCCTGGTTTCAGGGGCTCTGACCTGCTGCCTTGTCCATTACACCTTCTGTGGCCATGGTTTCCCCCTGAGTCAGGTGATGCATAAGGCTGGAAAAACCCAGTAAAACACTACGTGACATCTCCAGCCCTGCCAGAGCAACAGTGAGGGATGAATACTTGAGCAGCAGAGCTTTTGGGCACCCACGGCCCTTGCAAGCAGGGTTTGTTAATTTTCACTCTGTTCTGGGCTTCCTCCTCACCACGCCGGTGAGGTGATTTTCACTTGTGCAACTGCATGCAAATTCTTCGAATGCAGCTCGCTATAAAATCTCTCATTTGCGTCCAGACGTGAAATAAATTGATGCAATATTCCTTTATTGGCTATCCCAATCTGATTTGCATTCATGGAGTTGCCGCTTGAGTAGCCGTGGTGGCTTCCCCAGCGTTGGGGGAGAGTGCAGCCTCGGCCCTGATGGGCTGAGTGTCGAGTCATGGGTTGGTGGAACTGAAAGAAAAAATGGGTCAGTTCATGTGCAGCCAGCCTTGCTGGCTCCGCAGCACCATGCAGTAACTCTGTGGGCATGGTGTCTTTAAAGAGAGTTTGAGAAATATCACAGACATTAGGAAAACCAAAGGAAAATATCCAATACCTAAGGAAAAGCTCTGCTTCCATTAACACCAACGAGTCATGGGAGAAGCATGGCTGTTACAAGCAGTCTTCTGCTTGTGTAGGAGAATGTCACATGTCCTCCAGAAAACTACCAAAAAGGCAGTCATAGCCCTAGCTAAAAGGGAGATTTCAGTAGCTTCCAGTCATATTTTGAGCCAGTTTCTGTGTTCCTCTTGCCTGTCCTTGTATGCTTCCACACTCATAATGCCCACACCCCTGCTGCCCAGTTCATGATCTGTGACCAAGTTTTGGCTGTAAATCTAATTCTTTCTCATCTGCTTGTGACTCTGGCTAAGATCTTCTCCTTCCCTCAAAGGTTTGCAATCCCTTTTAAGAAATGCATGCAATCTGTTTGAGTCAATCTGTTTACCCAGAGAATTGTTTTTGCCAGCTTAGGAGTTCACCGTGAAAACCCAGACTGAGCAATAATAGGACAAAGAACCTGGAATTCACATCAAAACACTTGGCTTTAATGCTAAATCCTGCAGTTTCATCAGTCTGTGGGGTTTATCCTCGCATTTAACACCGAGTGTGTACTTTGGGGCTTTGCTGGAGGGAAAAGATGCAGCCCCTGCCCCAGTACCCTTGTTCACCACTGAGGTACCAATGAGGGGCTGCCTGGTCAGCACAAACCCAAGCCTTGCTCTCGCTCAGTGGCTCCTGCCCTGCTGCAGCTGCATTTCTGCATGGGGAGGACAGAGGCCCTTGTTGGAGATTTTTTCAGAGATGGCTTAGAAAGCAGCTGTAAGGAGCAGGTTCTCACAGCCTGCTTCTGTGAACAGCAGAGGTTCTCAGGTTATTTTTAATTACAGGTAAAAGTGACAAACATCAAGGCCTTGAGAGCCTTGCACATCAGAGAACTCAGGCAGCTTTCTCATAACAAGTGGATGTTCTATCTTTGGCTGTTTTGGGAAAGCAAGAATAATTTTGAGAACCCAAATCTTGGTATTGGAAACATAAGGTGGAGTTGGTATGTTATCTCTGACCTATTGTGAGCTCAGATTTTGCAGTATGCATGAAGTGAATTAACACTGTTATAAAAGGTGCCTGATTGATCAATAAAGTGGAGTCGATGCTGATCAACGCAGGGTGGGTCGTCTCCCCTCCAACTTCAATATATGGTAAACTTCAATAGGCCCTGATCTGGCTCCCTGTTCTCTGTGCCCACGGTGTGGATGTGCTCTCTGTCCCTATCCCCGCAGTGCCAGGTGTGCTCTCTGTCACTGTCCCCGTGGTCTAGGTGTGCTCTCTGTCCCTGTCCCCATGGTCCCAGATGTGTTCTCTGTCCCTGTCCCCACAGTGTGGGTCCCTGTCCCCATGGTGTGTGTGTGTTCTCTGTCCCTGTCCCCATGGTGTGTGTGTGTCTCTCTGTCCCTGTCCCTGCAGTGCCAGGTGTGTTCTCTGTCCCTGTCCCCATGGTTCTCAGCTGTCTCTGTCCCCATGGTGTGTGTGTGCTCTCTGTCCCTGTCCCCACGGTGTGGATGTGCTGTCTGTCCATGTCCCCATGGTTCTCTGTCCCTGTCCCCACAGTGCCAGGTGTGTTCTCTATCCCTATCCCCACAGTGTGGGTCCCTGTCCTCATGGTGTGTGTGTCTCTCTGTCCCTGTTCCCACAATGCCAGGTGTGTTCTCTCTCCCCACAGTGTGGGTCCCTGTCCCCGCAGTGCCAGGTGTATTCTCTGTCCCTGTCCCCATGGTTCTCAGCTGTCTCTGTCCCCATGGTGTGTGTGTGCTCTCTGTCCCTGTCCCCACGGTGCCAGGTGTGTTCTCTGTCCCTGTCCCTGCAGTGCCAGGTGTGTTCTCTGTCCATGTCCCCATGGTTCTCTGTCCCTGTCCCCACGGTGTGGATGTGCTGTCTGTCCATGTCCCCATGGTTCTCTGTCCCTGTCCCCATGGTGCCAGGTGTGTGTTCTCTGTCCCTGTCCCCACAGTGTCGGGGCTCCATTGTTCCCTCCCATGGTGCTGATGCTGCTCCTGTGAAGCATTGGGGTTTATGGGGATGGACTCCTGCAGCTCATCCCTGCTATTGAGGGGGCCTTCCAGCAGACAAATCTGA